TACAGTTTGTCATAGCCAGTATCAAGGTCATGATGCAATATATGAAAGTTGTATTGATGAGTATGTTCAATGATACAGAGGCCCTGATAGGTTCACAAACTGTTATTATAGTAACCACCTTTCTTGCCGTTGTACTGGTGCAATAACTACAATTGTTCATGCTCCCACGGTAAAATATAAACTGGGGATGGGAGTGGGGGGTGTCTCCCTGCAATATGGTACCCCCTTAATATAATTCCCCCAAGATGTAATATATTCCCTCAGATACCTCCTCTCTCATACACAAGGTATACACCCTGAAGTTCCATTGTAAATCTTAGAAATCCTTCCACATATACTGTAAAATATTTTATTTTAGCTGGAATTTATTTTCACTGATTTTTAATGAGTTAAATGTAAAATATAATAAAAAATGTATATCATTCCTTTAGGGAAAATTAATTCCAAGCAAAAATAAAGTAGTTTACAGTACCATACTTCCATATGACCCTTCATAACATACCGCAAATTTAGCCCCCTCCCCGCTACCTCAAATCAATATGTACTCACTCACCAGAGCAAATTCTGATATGTTGAAAGATGTAATCATCATCTTTCTTCTTTTGTAGCTAAACTAATGCATCGTCTTGTAATCAACTGATGCCCTCAAGAGACAAACGCTTTTTGTGTGTCTGATCTTGATTAGCTTCTCTTACTGACTTGTTCTTCAATGCCCAATTACTGTTATTTTTTGAGAGAAAATCATCAAAAATTGTTATTTTAAAATTAATAGTTACCATGGGGAACAAAATAAAAAGGCAATGTGTATAAACAATTATGTTGCTTGCTTCTCTGTGGGTGATGTTATGAAGTTGAATATTAATGAGCTAATTTGCATAATTCACTAACATCTGGTAATCTTATTTTATATGGTTGTTGACAATTTCAAGTCGTCTGTATCTTGTCAGGAATATATGTTTGAAGCTTAAAATACATGTTAGAAAACAATTGGAGAAATGCTTAAAATATCTGTTGTATGTTCTAATATTTGCCTTCTGCATGAGGTATCAAAAATTACATAATCGTGAATCCACTTTTCATTAATGAATTGCTTTTAACGCATAAGCTACAAAGATTTGGCTGAAATTTATTCTGCGAGTGTTGGCTGTTATGCAAATTTGTGTCACTCGCCTTTGGTTGCCATAGCAATGTCAAACGGGTTCCTGTATTATCTGCTCTTCTGGATGCAGACTGTGTATTTCCTTTGATGAAGTGAGCTTTTTTTTTTACGCCCATCTTTTATTTGCAAAAATCTAAGAAATTTTGAATTGTCATTTGGGGTGTATCAGAAATTCAACCTCACTTCAGCATTAAACATACATTGCAATTTATGCAGAATTTTTTTTATTTCAAACAAATTTGTTATAAATTCTTATAATAAAAATATTTATTTATAAATGCCTGAGACGGAAATATTGAGTCATCTCATTTTAGTTTTTATCAAGGAAGAAATAAAAATTCATGGAATTTGGTTTTACATTAACCTCCCTAAATGTTATTATAATGAACATATTAATTTCTTTCTCCCAAGGTGACTTGCAGAGGTTAATAAGGAAACTGCTTTTGCATTTTTGTGTTGGAAATAAAATTGAATTTTATAAACCATTGCAACATTATGCTGCAGTGAAACATTTGGGGTGGGGTGGCGGATGATTGTTAGAACAGCACCATAAAAATGATCTTATTCCCAGACTTAAACATATTCAAGATAAAGCTTTAATTTATTGTTTCAGTTGAGGAAATTCATGTCATCAAAATTAAATACTGTTATTTTGCAATTACACAAGTCATTTTTGAAAAAAAAAAATTTAAATTTTCAATAATTTCTTAGATTATAATGGGTGTACTATGTTTTCTATAATTGGCAGCCATTAATCCTAGTTTCACTCACATTACTGGTACTTGTAGCTATGCCATAATTGATGGTGTAATCACAAGGATAATTGTATGGTATTTCAAGTATTTTAGCTGCCTAGAAGACAATTACCGTAACAACAACATAAATTCCTAATGATAACCATATCAGATCGAAAAAATGGTATGAAACTAAGCTAAACACTGGAATTCTCATCATCTAAAATTTCTATATGTAAAAACTACAGTTAACAGAAAATGAAAATATAAATACTTAAAAAAATGTCCTGCCTAAGCATCTAAAGTATTGGAGGAGTCGAAATAAAATCCTAGAATTTTGAAATTGAAAATTTTCGCTAGTAAAATTGAACTGATAAATTGTTTGTCATTGTTAGTTTGGATTTTACTATGAATTTTAAAGATTTTTAATTTTACATATTGATGGAAGGAGAATCTTGTTTCTGATATTGTATATAACATTTTAGAGGTGTGGCAATTTTTTTTGAAGTTATTTTTATCCCCCCCCAACAAATTAAACAGTACAAGGAAGACTGCATCCATGTTTGCATACTAAGCTACCCTGGTGGGTTGGTGGGGTCATGAAAGGCCAAGCTTACAAATAGGGTGAAAATCAGCTGAATTGCAAGATTATTAGTTTCCACATTTAA